TCGGAAATTCATGCTTCATTGATGCGATATTCGGTCTTGTTGACGCTTAGGCAGTGAGCTTTTATGCCCCCTTGTAGCCATCATTTATAGGAAGAACCAAAAAGCTCGGGGTTCTTCAAAGGACAAGTGAATATGGAGATTTTTCCTCAGCCCCGACGCCATTTGTCCGGGGTGGCACTCGCCTTATTGTGGGACCCAGTGTGTGGCCGACCCCTAGCTCATGCGACACTCACCCCCTTCCTCTTTCCACCCTCCTCTTCCTCCCTTACCATACTGTTGTTCCTTCACCCGGAGAGGGGGGGTCATGGGGGTTGGTACTACAGGGGGGGGGGGTTTAAGGTATATAGGGGGAGGGGGTTGTAAGGTAAGTGGTAGGTGGGTGGTAGTGGCATTATTTGTTACACATGGTAGGTGACAGTGGTGGTGCTAGGTACAGAGGTGAAGGTGTAAACATTCTGATGGTACCTTGAGGGAAGTTGATTAGAACGGAGTAGGAGGAAGAAGAAGGAGGGTGGTAATGATGATGATGGAAAGGGACAAGGCACAGGTCACTAGCAAGGGCGCAGCAGATGATAAGGGTTAATGACGTACAGTTAGGAGGGAGACAGAGTAGGAGACTGGTAGACTGGGGATGGAAAAGGGGGTTGATAGGAATAGCTTAGCGGAAAGGGGATTGAGGATTGATACACAGGAGGGTGGGTAGAGGTTGAGGGAAGGGTGGAGGAGAGTATGATGGATAGGCATGAATGACAACAGCATAACTACAGGCAGCAGGTAAAGAAGGGAGAGAGAGAGAGAGAGAGAGAGAGAGAGGGAGAGACAGAGAGACGTAGAGAGATATAATGTTGTAAGTGATATGTAGTGGAGCCGAGTATAAAGGGAAGTTAATGGTGGACGTGGCAGGGGAGAGAATTGAATGGTAGTGCACGAGGGGTTGGGTTAAGACACGAGGGAGGAGCGGGCAAGGTCAGTGAACGAACATAAAATAGCGGCAAGACACAGGACAAGGAACGCACAATTTGGTTAGATGGAAGTGTGTGGGGGAGGGTAGATGGGGCGTAGTTGTAGTAGTAGTAGTGTAATTCTAGGAAAGGGGAATGAGAGGGGTGAGGGAATGGGGTAGGGTGAAGTGAGAGGGAGACAGAATTGCGTAGGAGCGAATACACAAAAATGAAAAGAAAGGAAGGAGAGGAGGAGGAGGGGGAGGGCGTTGGGCTGTAATAGAGAGCACTAACAGGAAAAGGGGACGGACGGTTTCATATTTTAGTAAGGCAGTATTGTGAGTAACGCGGGATCACCAGTTTTATGAGGCGTGGAAGTTGGTACAAAGAGCCTGCAAATCTGTTTAGAGGGAACACCGGGGTGCAAGTCGTGTGATGAGACGGTACTGAGGAAAAAGAGTCGACCTTAGGCCAAGAAACGTGAAGGTGAGGTATTACTACTGACAGAGGACACTAGACGCTCGTAGTAGTAGTAGTAGTAGTAGTAGTAGTAGTAGAGTTACACGAGGCTGAACTGCCCGTACTTGACTGTAGAAGGAAACACTGGAATACAACTAACTGGAAAAGACAAGAAAAAAAAAAAAACAATGAAAGTGACTTCAATAACAGGAACGTGGATGAGATGTCATGCTGGTGATAAAACTAATTGAATCACTTTTGGGGAATTGTTATCATGTAAATAAAAGCAAAAAAAAAGAACAGAAAATGAAACGAAACACTACAGACTTGGAAGGGGGGGTAAAAGACTGAGACGAATTTAGAAGAAGAGAAAGGGAGAAAGTTAAGTAGAGAGGGGAAGAAAAAGCAGTGATAAACTGAGGAAGATAAGAGCGAAGGGGTAGCTGAGATTAGGATGGCGATATTTTGGGTAACACAATGTAATAACAGGGAGAGATTTTTTTTTTTTTTTAGAGGGGGGACATCAAAGATCATGTGAAGCCTGAACTGAGATTAGAAAGTAAGCACCATAAGTAAACCCGGAATAAGGACAAGTAATGGTAGGGAATGGTGGATCATGTATGACTAGTGTGGATCATCAAGCTCCACCTGGATCATCGAGCTCCACCTGGATCATCGAGCTCCACCTGGATCACTTACTTCACTGCTGGATCAGTCGCCTCTGTATGGCAGGTGGTTGTTAACACCGTTTCTTACTTAATGGTGATAGTGTTGCATCTTCCCTAAGTAATAGTGATCTAATTTTAACACATTACCTGTTAATTAAATTGAAATGTTAGCACCAAAAAAATGTAACAGTTTAAGACTAGATGTTGGATTAGAATTGATTTATGCATCGATGTACAAATCTGGTGTGTACATTTCTACGTATTTACCAAGAAAAAAAATGGAGTCAAGATTGAGGGTGGGACCATAACGATACGTGTTGTGGTAAGAGGAGGCTCAGAGGACGACAGCTGTACTGTACATGTTGCTCCAGAATTACAAGGGATGATGCTGACGTCCAGAATTACACGGGATGATGCTGTCGTTCAGAATTACAAGGGATGATGCTGACGTCTGCGTATATCACTGTAAAATTCACCACAATATACAACACATAATTTTGCTTTTCAGCAAATATTCAGAATTCTGTTAATCGTCTTCATCTTCAACTCAATTAAAGTATCTTCATACTCCATACAGTACTGTCTATGGCGTCTTCCTCCTGTCGTAGTAATGCTGCCTTATCCCTGTCAACTCCTTATCTGTTTTTTTAATACATATTCCAGGTAAGAAAGAGCCCATGGTTGGACACTTTAAAACAATGTGCAAAAATTAGTCTGAAAATCAGTCGAATCTCTTGAAAATCCAGTCAGGTAGTCCAAGGATGCATATCAAGAAGGCTTCAAAATTTCATTGATCTTCATTGGAAACTTTTTTTTTTAATTGAATTTTGCCGCCAAAGTTTACTAGTTTTGCTTTTGGATGAGTTTGTGTATGGAAATTAATATTAAAAGAGGCATAACGTTGTAGGTAAGTAGACGGAGATTGAAACTTACTGTATGTAATGTGTATGGAAGTAATTAACCTTTGTAGAATTCGAAGGCTTCACATAGTTGCGTTGACGAAGATATTGATGACAACAATTTAGCGACAGAAGAAAGAATTTAGCAACTGACAGAAAAAAACGCAAATATTTCAAATGCTAGTAAAAGTTGCTTAAAAAGAGAAAAAAACTACGATGATTGACACTGAAGAAATTACCTGTAGGAGAAAACTACGATGATTGACACTGAAGAAATTACCTGTAGGAGAAAACTACGATGATTGACACTGAAGAAATTACCTGTAGGAGAAAACTACGATGATTGACACTGAAGAAATTACCTGTAGGAGAAAACTACGATGATTGACACTGAAGAAATTACCTGTAGTTGCTCCTTATTTTATTACCGTGTACCTCAGGTCCTGATACCCGGCGGTGTAGTGTAGTCTGAGGTATAGGCGAGACAGTATACACGGAAGACAACACTCAAATTAATATCAAACGTAATTATTGACTTGAATGAGAGACTGAATACTGTTGTTAGTTTGACATAGCCGTTAGTAGTGGGTCGTGTATTCATTTTTTAATTGGAAAAACTAACAGAACTTTTCCAGTGATCTGTTCCGGGTTAATGGAGTATAACATTATTGTGTGTATATCATAACTGATAATATGCTCTGGGGTGCGTAAGTATAGCATTGGTGTTTGTATATCATAATAATAATAATGATTTTTTGCTTCTCGTAAAGGTTTTCGGGAGTGTAACATATGATCGCTTTAGACAAACAGACCAGTTGATAACATTTTCCACATTTCCACATCACGAAGAGTCCATGAGTGAGGTATATATATTTTTTTAATCTACGTTCGTAATTTTTTAGTGTATTTTTTTGGGGGGGGGGGATGGGGATATTCGATGTCTACAGTACTGGTAAACTGGGAATCAATAACACCTGTTTAAACCACCTGAAGATTAACCACCCTAACGGTACCTGGGGGTTAGGTTAGGTTAGGTTAGTATGGTTATATCTCCGGGTGAAATAAGCTGGAGTGTATTAAGGTACCGGTAAGTTATGTTTAAGGTGACGTTTAAACACAAGAAACGAAATGGAATTACATTATTGGTGAGGCTCGTGGTAAGAGTGAGGGTGTTGCTACCACTGTGAAGCACTCCAGTGTTACATTGCCCCCGGGGAGTCCACAGCCCAAACGTAGTACCCACTCCTCCTCCGCTACATTATACTTCATACCTTACTACTCACTCCCACCCCTCACTAGACACCTTACCTCCTTACACACACACACCTCACACCCACCTTATACCCCCTTACACCTCACACCTCCTTACCCACACTTCTCACATTATCCTCACTGCACTACATGGCTCACTGCGCTACACTCTTACATAATACATTAATTCATTGTGTCTACACCTCACGACACCCACACTAGACTATAATTTAATACAATAATACTGTGTCTACACCTCACAGGCTGTGCACGACATATATTCCACGAAGTTACAGTCATAATGTGGGTGTATTTTTTACGCAATACTAGTACAGTGTATGATGCACGTATAAGCACACTCACGCAGTTATGTGTGTATGCATACTTGGGTGGGAGGGGAATGCACACAATGGCATGTACGCACGCACAGACTAGACAGACAGACACTGGTATACAGACGAAACACAATAAAATATTCTCACAGCGTTCAAGCAAACACACGTACAAGTGTAGGTACCGTCAACACACACACACACACACACACGTACGTTTAATTTCATTTGTATTAGTTTAAAAGATAAGTCACGAACCGCTTATTGTATTCCGACAGTATTTCAACGCTGAATATTTTTTTTTCGTTATACAATCGTATATTTCAAAATAAAGAAAAAGCAAATTTCGTTCACCTGTTTTATACGAATTAATGATCATCCAACTCGTATATATTATCTTGCCTACTGTCAATCCGCCTTATTTGTCAGCAGAGTCTTTGGGTCGAGTGGTCAGGATATTCTCTTTTGATTCAAAGTTCTTGAGTTCGAGCCCCCAGGTGTACTTGGTCGAAGTTTCGCCAGAGTAAGAAACCCCCAGGAGACTGTTGGGAGTCGTTGGCTGGTTATAGAGATGAGTAGCCTTGTGTTGGAGGTCCGAGTGATTGGCTTGGGGTGTGAGGCGGGGACACAGGGTATGGGGTGTGAGGCGGGGAACACAGGGTATGGGGTGTGAGGCGGGGAACACAGGGTATGGGGTGTGAGGCGGGGAACACAGGGTATGGGGTGTGGGTGGAGACACAGGGTATGGGGTGTGAGGCGGGAACACAGGGTATGGGGTGTGAGGCGGGGGACACAGGGTATGGGGTGTGAGGCGGGGACGCAGGGTATGGGGTGTGAGGTGGGGACACAGGGTATGGGGTGTGAGGCGGGGACACAGGGTACACAGGGTATGGGGTGTGAGGCACAGGGTGGGGTGTGAGGCGGGGGACACAGGGTATGGGGTGTGAGGCGGGGGACGCAGGGTATGGGGTGTGAGGCGGGGGACACAGGGTACATGTCACCGTGAGCTGCTGTCTGTAGTGGTGTGAGGTCTTGGGTGGTAATAGATAGAAAAATAAGTATTTAAGGATGAAAATATGTAAGGAAATTAAGTATAGTGAGTAATGAGGAGTAAATATGTGAGTGGCATTAGCATTGTGTGTCCCATGGTTGGTATTCCTTGTTACTTTACCTCTCTTAGTTAACATTCATAACTCGATTGTAATTTATTATTCATCTAAAAAAAACATAACAGGATTTTACTATTTTTTGGTATGTCTAGGATTACAGTAAGTATTTTACATAATTTATGACATTATTGTGTCAACGATCTTTTTTTCAGTCTGGATACTTTTCGTGTTAGAATTTTCAATACGACCAGACATGCGTTCTTGCTCGATCCAACTGTGTATAACTAGTAAGGTGGAGCTGGTGGGCCAGGGAGTGAAGGTCGAGGGTATCAGCTTGTCCATCAAGTGTATCCTGACACCATAGGATCAGCCTAGCTATCCTGACTCGATATGCAACGCTTACACAGTCACTTAAACTACCTAACTCTGCTTGACCTTATAAAGGGAGCCCACTGTCTTAACCTTGTACTCTGGCGTCATCATGTGGTCAATCGCAACTTCAGATTTGGTCATCACAAACTTGACCTCTTAGAAGCCACTCACTTGCTGCATGATGCACTTAACTTGGTCTTTATGAATTAAACTCTTACATTTTGACAACTATCATAACACCGGGGTATTTAAGGCTTGGATCTTACAGGTGGAAACACATTGTTTATTTGCCTGTGATATAATGCAGTATGACTTGACTGTTAACAGATTCCTTCAGCTCTAGTTTTCCACTGAAGATTTGCCCGCCACAGGTTACACACCTACGACACGGCCGCTGTAAACACTGACATAACCCATTAACAGGTCAAAGAAATTACTCCTAAAATGTTGATAGAGGCAAGCTTGACCTTTTACTCAGGCTGTTTGGTTTTAATGACTGATAAAGAAGTTATGTCAAGGTGTAGGTCCCTGGAGAGACGGTGGTTGACCTTTTGATAACTGATGATAAATAGAACGACATTTGAAACTGTGGTGGCGAATCACACGTAAAAATAATAATCCTTGATGGTTATAGGAGCAGTGTCTTTAAACAGTACCTAAGAGTGGAGCTTGAAAGAGAGTGTTATGATAATTGACATTGTTTAAGTGAGAGTTTAGAATGATTACAATACTCTGGGATAAATGGGGTGTGGCGACTGAATGGATACGCCGCTATTTTATTTTTTCTCCCAAGGGTCATGGTTTCGCCCCCAGGATACTCCCAGTCGACCCTGCTGTAAATGAGTACCTAAGTTTACAGTTGGCAAAGTGAAGGTGGTCGAATGTAGTGACCGGCCATGATGCTTCCTTGTGGATCGAAGGCTAAGTTTTTTGCGTGTTGTATCCTCTAGGGAGCGAATGTTGTGTATTGTAGCAGACACTTGCCTCTATTATTAGGCTTACAGTGTTTGTGTGGTGTTCTTTAATATTAAAAGGAATTATTCCAATTTACTTTTTATCTCTGCCATCTCCGGCGCGCCTGGTGTGTAGTGGAGAGCTCGGCCCGTGCCTTCGTCCGTGACACTTATGTGTGACACTTATGTGTTTCGGCTGCGTCTTAACACATGTGGTCACGTCTTAACCAAATTTTATACAAAACAATATATGCTCTGAACGAGTTCGCCTTATACCTCATCCGTCATATTTCTCAGTACCTTGAAAGCTGAAGTAAAAATGATTCTTTAATTACAATGAAGTCTGTATTTTTCGCAATCACTTCCCAAAATACCACCTGTGTCAGTTGTCTTGTGTCGACAGGTGTTGCTAGAGTTTCTGAACAATTCATCTAATAATAATATGTATAGACTTTTTACCTCCTTACTAATTCAGTGAAGTGTATAGTGATGGTGTGAAGAGGACTGTGGGAGGTTGTGTGTTGGGTGGACGCGAGTCGCTCATCACTCAGGGAGAGAACTTGTCAGTTTCTCATGCATAAAACAAGTGCCTCTCACCTGGATATATACTGTACGAAGATAATTTTTTCTTCTTGGTTTTTAAAAATGAAAATAAAAGTGTGTCATATATATTAAATTAAAAAAATAGCGTGGGACGGACTTGCATGTAGTGTGTTGTCCTCTTATTTGATACTAGTAAATCATAATATTAAAACATTTTGGTAATAAAAATATCTCGAGACAGAGGTGGACGAGAAAATGTGGCAATTTATGTGCATGTCGAGGACAGGTAAACTAGATTGTATAACCTGCAGTTACGGTTTTGACTCACCCACGGAATAATATTTTTGAGGTTGACCCGGCAGTGGTGGTGGTGGTGGTAGTGATGATGATGGTGGTGATGATGATGATGGTGGTAGGGATGGTGATGATAGTGGTGGCGATGGCGGAGATGGTGGTTATGGTGATGGTGAGCGCCTCAGGTATTTACCAGGAAATATTATTGTAATACTGACAACTTTTGCTTTTTCACCCTATCTTTAACCTAACCTATCTTATCTTTACTCTTAATCTAACCTACCCTTAACCTGACCTATCCTTAACCTAACCTCCCCTACCCCTAATCTAACCTTAACCTAACCTACCCCTAATCTAACTTACCCCTAACCAATCCTCCCCTACCCCTAACCTAACCAACCCCCAACCAAACCAACCCCCAACCAAACCAACCCCCAACCAAACCTACCCCCAACCAAACCTACCCCCAACCAAACCTCCCTTACCTCTAACCTACCCTTAACCAAACCTGACCTGACCTGACCTAACTTACCATCAGTAAACTCAGAGCCACTTTTCTCTCCAATCTTCAGTGTTTATGGAAAGCAATATTTGAGTTCAAACCAATACAAAAAATGTCCTGGTTTCCCGTTGTCTAGCTGGCATTTCATTAGAGATGGTGTTGGTTGTGTGTGTTGCCACGGGTTATAACAACGCATACTAATATTGTGTGTGTGTATTTGTGTGTGTGTGTGACGGTACAGCAGCAGGAGTGACGGTACAGCGGCATGAGTGGTGGTACAGCAACAGGGGGTGATGGTACAGCAACAGGGGGTGATGGTACAGCAGCAGGTGTGATGGTACAGCATCAGGTGTGACGGCACAGCATCAAGGGTGACGGTACAGCATCAGGGGTGACGGGACAACAGCAGGGGTGACGGTACAGCATCAGGGGTGACAACAGCAGGGGGTGACGGTGACAGCATCATGTGACAGGTACAGGGGTGACGGTACAACAGCAGGTGTGACGATCAGGGGTGACGGTACAGCATCAGCAGGGTGTGGCAGGTGGCGGTACAACAGCAGGGGGTGACGGTACAGCAGAAAGGGTGACTATACAGCAACAGGGGGTGACGGTACAGCAGCAAGGGTGGCGGTACAGCAGCAGGGGTGATGCTACCTGAGCGCTGCGATCGTAGGAGGGAGACCGGAACTCCTCCCTCAGTTTTACTATCAGTAAAGTGTGGCCCCACATCTCAGCTGAGGCGGCCCGTGTGTGTCTCAGCTGTGGATCACACTGGTATAGCCTCTTAATATGCTTATGTGGAACATTTTGTTTTACTGGGTCACCCTCCAGTGGCCACCTGCCCTAGCTCTTTCTTGTTATATATTTTAAGTGAGAAAAAATAATTAATTTACGAAAGATGAGAGATTTAGTGAAATATATGTGTACAGGGCATTCTGGTGTTGGGTGTATGGCATCCTTAATAAGAGTAATTATTCCAGGATTATAAAGACACTTGGTGTGGTGGTGGTGGACGTGGTCACAGCGTTCTTGACACTACATGACCCAACGTTCAACAAAATTTACTTTTTTATCGAAAATCTGTTCGAGAAAGATTATGCTCTAACGTTGTTTTTGTATCAATAAGAGGAGTGAAGTGAGTAAGGAGGAGCTCCTGCCTCACATTTTAGGGCCACCTGAGGAGTGCGCCGCTTACCCTTTGGGGGGCACATGAGAAGCACTCCGCTTCACTGTAAGGTACATCTGAGGAGGAGCACCTCGCTTCACCTGGAGGGTCACCCCCGCCACCTGGACGGAGACACACTGTCCCGTTACACGTATCATTCAGGCCACGCAGGAGCCTGTGCCGGTAACAGTTCCTAAGTAACATTTATGGCCCGCTTGTGTATAGTAATTGGCCCGGGGTGGGGTAGGGGGCGGACCTGCTGACGACCCACCCTGGCCTGTGGGTCACACATGCAGCCTCCACACTCACAACACTGGGCTTATGTCCTCATAAACTCACAGTATGGCCAACACGTAGCGTCCATGGGGGATTATTTGTCTCAGACCACAGGAGTCAAGGGTTGTGTACCTCCAAAACCAAGGGCTGCTTACTGTACATCTTATATGACAGTTATACACTGGGTGATAAACTAAAGGGGGTGGACTGCATCTTAAACTTTACCGGGGATATACTCGACGTTTTAAACCATGGGGATACATGGCACTCGTTAACCGCTATTCATACATTTTTTAATTAACAGTCACACGGGGTACAGTAGCCAGATCTGTCTCAGGGTGTGGTAATGTGTCCAGTCTCAGGGTGTGGGTATGTGTATAATCTCAGGGTGTGGTTATGTGTATAGTTCCAGGGCGTGGTAATGTGTACACATCAAAAACAACAAGAAAAGGATTGCTTTAACATGAGCCGCCGCTATGGAGAGGGAAGGAAGAGGTCCTGTGTAGCCCACCACCACCGCTGGGCATAACGAGAACCTGATATTTTGTGGGTGGTCGAGACGTGGCGGAGTATAAGGGTCAGGCGAGTGGTGTTCGTCAGGCACTCGATTCCCCACGAGTCGGCTCAGAGTTGTACCGAAGATCTATGGCGCGCATGTATAATGGGGAAATCCCGTCTGTCATATGACTTAAGGCGTTATCGGTTGCTTAAGACAAAAATGGCCTCTATACTTCCTCTCTTGGCCAATGTAGAGGCACCTGGCTATGACGGTCTCTCGA